AAGCATCTCTGCATCAATATCATTTAAACAAGACTCAATTGCTTGCACTGAAGCCGCTTGATCATGAAGCTTGAATGAGCAGTAAAGCTGAGCGTCATCAGCCTAGAAATGACATGATAGGCCATGACTTCTGACAATGTCGCCTAGCGGGGACGTGTACCATACATACAATATAGGCCCCAGAACAGATCCTTGGAGCACGCCACACCGCAAGTCCTTGCTACACGATGTTGCCCCCTTCGCATTGACAACTTGTTTACGATTCCCAAGGTAGGACTTGAACCAGCGCAGGGTTTTGCCATTAATACCAAAGCGACAAGAGAGTCTGTGCAGAAGAATCTTGAGTAATTACATTAACACAGTTTTATTCGGGGAGGCTCCGCCCCAAGATTCAACCCCTTAGGCCTTTTATATACCATTTTTTCCAGAAAAGGAAAGGACCTTCAAAATATATAAATCATAGATTCCAACCCTCTTCCACATGCTTGAACTCGTGCATTGCTACCCTTTGATATACCTGAAGCCTTGAAAAAGGTACCCCTTTCGGACGAAGCTTCTCATTATAGGTCATCAATTATAATGGAGCGCCACTCCCCCGGCCTACGACCAAGAGAGATGATCATCTCACCTGACACCGATGAGAGACGCAAATTTTAACCAACCCAAGTTGCCTTCGTGGAAATAATTTGATATAAACATTGGGTATGCGTAACGGAGCAATTGTAAGTTTAGTTCAGAGAAATTTTGAGGTACATATTTCCTTACTGTGCACAAAACCTTTTTAAGATACTAGTTTTTATGAGCCTTTCGTTTACGCGCTGATCAGTGCCCAAACATGGTTTTATTGCAAGATCGCATCTAGGCTTTGATTTCTATGTAGTTGTTCTGCCAAGAACTACATCAATTGATCATCCAAAAACGGATGGATCAGAGTGTTAGACTTACATTTAAAATGTAAATATACAGTCGAACCTTCACTAACGGCCACCTCTTTCCCAGTCCGTTGAGGTCAACCAAAAACTTCCGTCTGGGCGGGGGCTAGTGTTTTGCCGTTTTTAGCCTTGACACTTCTAAATGAAGGATACACGAGGTGAAAACAACAAATCTGTCATAAAGTACCGGAAACAAGTTTGAAAATAAAAAGATGTCGGCTGAGCTCGAAAAGAAATTTGTTTGGCTTTCAAAGACGTTTTCTGGAAATTTTTTTGCGTTGTCTACCCCTCATAGGTTCAGGTTAAATTCAAAAGAGAACGAAAAAAGAGTTGTTTTTTTTTTTCACATTCCTTGGTTTAAAATACTGTGTTGATGTTAAAGGCAGACGAACCATGTCACGATATCAGGTGGTACCGTTTGCAATTTTAACAATTTTTTGGTTTTAATCTTGCCGTGAAAGTCTGCGCGCGTGAAAATCCATACAAAAATGGCGAGTTTTTGGCTGGTTTTCAGCGCTAAAAACCCAGTGAAATCCAATAAGCTGGCATTAATAATCGAAGGTAAGATCTTGAATTTGATGTTTCTTGCTATTTATATTCCAGTGGTACCTTTTGAGAATTGGTTACGAATAACTCCCAGAGATAAAAAAAAAAAAAAACCCTCAGAGTGCGCGGCCACTTTATTTGTCCCGGCTGGTAGTCCATTGGTTCATTAACTCTTGTTTAAATTTCTTTAAAAATAGCAACGGCCACTACAGCGCGTCCTCGACTACCAAAATAATCTCTCGACAACGGCCAGTTTTTTGAGCGACTGACTAAATTAAAATAGTCTACAATACTGACCTATATACCAAATGTTGCTACCCTTGCTCGTTTTGATAACATTTGTGGTTCATTTAAGAAATGGTAAACGTGCAGCGTGCAACCATGGAGTTATGGATACACGCGGGAGGTTGCTAAGCACGAAAGAAGCGTAAGAGTCGCACTCGGCTATCGCCTCGTGCGACTCTAGCTTCTTGAGTGCTTAGCAAACCTCCCAAGGGCATCCATAACTCCATCGTTGCACAGTGGCAACGGTTACCATTTCTTTTATAACATAATCAAAAGAGAAAAACATTATTTTCCGTATGGCTTCGGTTGATTCATCGGCCCGAGTTCATGTATGCTGCCATCTGCCCACCCCTTTGAGTTTTTCTTTCGCTGAATCAACCGTTCTCCGTCTTCAGGTAAATTGCAAAACGTTTTTCGTTGCTATTCTGAATGGCATCTGTCTACTTGCTCTTAATATTAGAGTAAAAACTTTGAGGGAAAACTATAGCTGCAACTATAAACACCAACTAAAAAGACTCTAAAAAATAAGCTAAAACTGAATAAATGAAATAAAAAGAAATTAATTAGCTTTGTATCGAAATCTGTCTGGGGAAATCCAACTATGAAAGTCAAAGTTCAGGCTGAAAGTTGCAACTGAAATTCGCCGACACACAGCCAGCGCTGAAGCTGTTGTTTTTCGACCGTTCTCTGAACGACTGTTATGAATGAACACTGAGGAACAAAATAATACACACAGAAGTTATTTTTTAAAAAATTTATTTGAAAACCCAAATGTTTCTGTACCCAAATGAAATTCGCCTATTCCAGCGTAATGTGCCCTTCTAAACTCAACTAAAATTTTTAATCGATGCGATGAAAACTTCACAACAAAGCTGTCCCGAAGTTTAGCGTGTTTCCTAAAATATATGCTTAAATTTAGCATCAACTCGACCAAAAAGTCAATAACACAATGCTAATTGATAAATTTACATTTCAAACAGACTTTCTCTTCTACAAAAAAACACACAAAATTTACCTTAAATCTTCGCTCGCTCGATTTTCCTTCAGCCGATTCTAGCCGCGAGGAAAACAATACTTCCGAGAGTTTGAAGGTGCTTTTAAGAGCTCCTAATCCTGTTGCACTGTCGTACATTGATAAATCCAGTTGCGCTTACAATTTGGCGCCAAGATAAACGTAGTACGTCTAAACACCATATTAGTTATTTTTTATCATTATTATTATCATTTTTCTTTTTTATTGATATTTAGTGATAATTACAATGACTATTACAAATAGTAAATAGTATAATGAGAGTAAATTTTAAATACTTTGACAATGAAGCGAAAGAAAAAATAGTTGCAATACTTATGCAATAAATTTTACATTTTTAACAATGAAAAACAAAAGGAGGAAGATTGAAGAAATTGCTAATCTAATAGAAAAATGGAAGTCGCTAAACAGATCAGTGTAGATTAAAGAAATATGTAGTAATGGAGTTACACTAGCAGTCGCTTACTTACTTAAAGCAGTATACGCTTTTTTGAATTGCTCTAAACGTCTAAAGGATATGGCTCGGCGAATATCGATTCTGTTATTGTGACTATATAACAATAACTGCAATGACATTAACAATAAATTATACTGTTTGAAAGACAGTTTTCAATAGTTTTTAGGGGGTTTTGTGTACAATTATTGAATATTTAACTGAACGTAGCTAGACGAAACGCTCACAATAAAATCATCTTCATTTGCGAAATTTGCTTTTATTTTCTTCTATACTTTTCTGATAGCAGTTTTCTTTAAATCTTTTTTGCTAAAATTCCGAAAACAATTTGCTAGCAAATTTTTGCTAACAAGATCGATCCTGGACATAAGTGCAGTCAGTAGTTACTTTGTAACCTATGTCTGGCTGCACTTAAGAATTTATCTCCTCTTCATTTCTTATCTAATCTCCAAGCAACCTCAAGTTAACACTTTAAGAGTGTCTTGTTTCTTATCTAATCTCCAAGGAAGTGCGACTTAAACCTTCACTGCGTGCGCTGTTTATCCATGCTCGAGTCATGAACGAAGTTATATACTTGTGAACGCAAGATTCGTTCGAAAAGGTTAAGAGGACGCAATCTAGCGCCACTGCAGCTTTCTTCAAGCGAAAAGTTTATTTTCAGCTACTGCTGTTTGTTTTTGAACGATTCGAACAGTGAGTATAACCAAGTGAACATTTTTTCTTTCCTTTAAATTGTAGGTGCACCACCGGCACGCATGTTAAGTCAAGTCATGCTATCAATCGCTGTTGACAATGCTTCGATTATTTGGAATAGGACTCCTGTTGCCAGCACCAAAGGCTGAAGTTATTAAGGGGCCAACTGTGCTGAGGTGGTTCATAAAATATTCATGAAAAATAACTATTTGACACGCGAACTTAGCCGCAATCTTGCTTGAAACGACAGACCTCAAAGTAGATAACAGTTCGCCTCAAAAAGTCTTCTTTAAGGGCGTTTAGCAGAGGAAAATTCAACAGCTCCTTTCGGACGGTTGGATGGAAAAAAAAGGTACTTTCGTTTGTTGACCGCTAAAATTGGCCGTTTTCACACTAGAGACGGATGATCGATCTTCCCCTGATGTTCAAGATCCGTCAAAACTGACGGAAAAAGAGATGAATAAAGTCAGGCGGATTGTCCATCCAAAATTAAGACCATTCCATTTTTAAATTAAGACGTATTATCTGTCTGACGCGAATTATCCAATGGATAACCCGTCTGTAGTGTGAATACGGCCATTGCAACGTTACGCTATTGACGAGAGACAAGACACAACTCTAGTCTGTCTACGTGTCAGATGTTACTCGCGTTTCAATTAGGGCACAAAAGACAAATGTTTGCTAGACCGGCTGCGCCAGTTTATTGCATATATGTATTATTAATAAAAGTGTTGACCAATCATTTTTATCAAGGGCCACACTCTGACACCGATTTGCTCCAATTGCCACTTTTAATAGGCAACTGACGACCGGCCCTTTCCCGAACATAAATGTAAACTGAACTACGGCTTAAATTAGACGTTCTTTCCGAATCCTGTTTAAAGAGAGTGCTTGTTTTTTTAAGCCCTATTGTAATTTTATTTTTTCATTTACTGTACGCTAATACGAGACGACTCCTAGTCATGACAGACGGCTTTTTTATGCTGATTATTATGGCATCCCCCACTTGAAAGTGGCGATCACACAAGGGAAAAATGTATGCACCAGATACTCAGTCGCTTTAGTTACGTCGAAGTGGAAAAGTGGCCGCGTTTTCGTCGTTTGTAGACCTGCTAAATAATTCTACCAGGCCTGCGCGGACTCCCTGCATCTTCATGGCGTATATGATAGGATTTGCTAACGAATTGCCGAAGAAAAACACTAAAACTATCATTCTTGCGTGAAAGTATGGCCGTAAAGGATGGATAAAAGTGGTCACACACAAATATACTATAACTGGTAGCAACGCCAAAAGGGATACAATCGTAACAATGAAGAGGGTGGAAGTTATGCGTCGTTCGCGGTTGATCACTCCATTTCTTTGGGGGTTGGGAAGCGGACTGCGTCGAATCTTGACAAAAATGGAAATGTATGAAATGCAAATGAGGGCAACAGCAATTACGTAAAACGGTGTATATAAGGTAGAATTAATTATCATTTCTGATTCAGGATGTCCATGTGTCATCAGTGCAATCTGAATAGCCTCTCTGATGGCGGCCGTTACCCAAATGACAACTATTATAATAAGATAAACCCATTTTTTCAAGAAAAGATGCCTTAAAGGGCATAATGTTGCGTGCATTCTCTCTAAAGAAATAGCAACTAGATTGGCAATGGAGGCAAAGTGAAAGAAATTGGAGAAAGCAAACTTTAAATAGAATTTCCAGTCAAATCTGAAAGCCGTCTCATCCAGTTCCCATATATAACAATCTTCCCAATTAATCCTTTCAACTTGAAGGGGGCCTGATATTCCTCCAGCCAAGAGATCGACTATCGCCAGATTCCGAATTAGTAAGTATGTACCACGACGCTGGAGTTGTCGATGTTTCGCAAATACAATGACCATCAAGAGATTTAAGATGACTACCGAGAGAGACTCCATAATGAGCACAATAATCCATGGAATGCACTGTGATTTTGGAATTAAACGAGCAATTCCACTGCTGTTGGTGGCCATTGCCTTCCAGCCCTTTTTTTCTGAGGAAGGACGTAGCTGTACACTGCCCTCCAGTAAATGGTTGTCTAGGTAACCTGGAAAAATCACGTATTTGTATTTGTATTTTTCCTCCAATTAGCATTCATTGCAAACACTAATAATTACAGAAAATGAAATAATACTAAGTAGGAGAAGAGAACATTCTGGCAGACTAATATTGTGCCCCTTAGTAAAATTGTATGTCATGACAAAGAAAAATAGATACAGTATAAACAGCACAATAGATTATTTATATAAAATTAGTACTGAGCAGCATAATAAAAATTATGTAAAGCCGAATTTCGTTGAAAAAATTGTAACTAAAGAATTTTAAACATTCTCGAATGGAGTTCAGTACAGTCCAACCCCACTTTACGGATACCCGCATAATACGGTCACTTCATTATTACGGACAGTTTTCTTTGTCCCTGAGGTAAGAAAGCCCTTACATTGTCTCTAAATTCGACCGATTCGAGATGCTGTAGCTTATCAATAACCGATTGGGGTAAGCCATATAGAAGAGCATTACGTAATCCGACTTAGATGAAATAAATGCATGAACAAGTGTCTCAGCATTATCCTGAAAGAGACAGTTTCTCATCTTTGCTATATTTCGTAAATGATAGAAGGCCGTTTTGCAGGTGTTTATAACATGCTTCTCTAAGTTGACATGGGCATAAAAAATTACACCTATATTTCCAGCATTATTAGAGACTTCAATGTATTCACCAGCCACATGAATACCCTTAATGGGTGGGTTGACTTTGTGCTTTGGTCCAATCACTAGCAGCTCAGTTTTATCCCGGTTCAGCTTTAGCATGCTTGCAAGCATCCATGCATCAAACGAGACTCAATTGCTTCCACTGAAGCCGCTTGATCATGAAGCTTGAATGAGCAGTAAAGCTGGGCGTTGTAATGGCATGACCGCATGCGTGACACGCCTAGTGACGCTAATAGTATGCATATTAGGTGTTGTTAGGAAGTAACGGACGCGAGCAGTAGCTTTACGAATCGATTGTGAAACATATACGATGTAAGCCCGACATTAAATTGGCGACGAGGTAAAAGTGGAATGGCGGTAAACATTAGATCCAAACAATTTCCCGAATTCGACGTTCGGATTGACCCTGAAACGGTATACTCGCGCTTCTCAAAATATGCTAAGCGGTTCAAGGACAACCACTTGAAAGCCTACAACATCACAGACAAGCACCAACAACGATCATTCCGTGGGATGCCTGTGGCACTCCCACGGTAAAAATCCGGTTCGGTTGTAGCCAAAATTGCAAAGCCAGCCGATAGGATTGCGTAAAATCTTCATCTCTTCTTCCAAGCCGACCAATCAGATTGTACAAAATCTGTATCGATTTTTAATCGATTTGCTTCCTCTGAAGAACGTTGAAATCAGAACGTTCCTTGCCAAATTGGTCGCGCTTGAGTTTTCCCACTCGTGGTTTAGGATGGCTGGTTAACCAGCGAAATCCTTCGGGATACTGACAAGTCACGAAAGGCGACCTAAGCCAAATTATTTCTTTCCTTCATGATTCTTTTTTTGTTTAGGTCTAGCCTTTTCATAAGATTTTAGTAGCGTCTGGTTGCGGGCCGTGATTTCCGATAGATTTTTCTATTCGGAGTTCGCCAGTTTTTGCCGAGCACAGCTCGAGTTCAGTTTTTTTCTTTTCTTATCGAAAACACCTTGACGATGGGAGGTTAAATCGCGTAAATTTCAATTCGTACCCTTGACGATTGGCGGTGAAATCGCGAAAATATTGTCCTCGTCGATCGACGACTCGCTTTCGGCATGGATTGGACTTCTGGATGGGACACAGATCAGGACCTTAATAAACTTATTATACCTTGGAATCAGGGACAATCATTGCAATATTAACTTTGAGACCTTGGAAACACATTGCAATTAATTTTTAACCGTATCAAGAGCACCTTGGAATATTCAACTTTCATCTTGGATTAAAACATTGGAACTTTATCGAACTTTGAAACCGTGGGTTCGACCCTGGATAAAGCAAGCGGATGTTTTGTTTTGTTTTGTTCCATTAACCTAAAACTACAATGTTTATTTCTCTTTGAAAAAGTTACCTGTGGCTCCTTACTACCAAGATATGACGTATCTTTATACATATAGTTCCTGTTCAGGTTAATCAGAGAGCATTATGCGCATGTTCTCCATTACTTGTTTCCGTTAACATTCCAATTTAAGTTACACAGGTAAACCTCGTTTTGATGCAAAATAACTTATTTTTCTTATCCAAATCGTGCTATGAAAATAACTACATAGCGATAGATCAAAACAAGATCAACTCCATCCTTGCGACCACTGACAACTATAAATTTAGCTTGCGTAGCAGGTGTTCAAAGGGGTAGGGGATAGGGAGGGGATGTGGATTGGGGAGAAATAGTGGCCTGTCCCGCAGGCTACTATAAATTCAGTCATAAGCACATTAAACCAACCCATACAGGTAACCTACTCATCGATGCTCATAACATGACACATCTTTCCGGTTTCCTTAACTTTTCCAGCTTCAGATAGAACGCCATTATGCTTCCATAGACCAACGCATCCCACGGAAACGACTTTAGGCGTCTTGTTATTCCTAGATTCGGTAGGCGAAGCCACGCTAGATATATTCGAACAGCTTGATGATACGGGAACGGATTTGGACGGAGCTATCACCGCACTACTGAACAAGTTCAAAGAATCGCAAAACCGGCTGTTCAATATACACAAATTTCGTTGCACTATACAGGGAAAAGATGAAACCTGGGACTTGTTCATCGCTAAGCTAAAAGCAGAAGGCGAATACTGTGATTTTCCGGCAGTTAGTTGGATACAGAGATACTAATGGCCATGGAAACGAACGTCAAATCAAAGAGAGTGAGAAGAAAGCTTTTGAAAGACCAACTAACGTTAGCTGAAGCTCTCAAATACTCTCGTGGTGTTGAGAGGGCGGATCAACACGCTACAAGAGTAGAAAACCAACAACATCCGAAGTGACCGTCAAGCAAGAAATCAATAAAACCACTGTCGACAAAAGTAGAGAAAAACTGTGTGTGGGAAACATTGGCTACACCAAGGTGGACAAAGAAAATGCCCGGCTTTTGGAAAACAGTGTACGCGATGTGGCAAAAGAAACCATTTTGCAAAGTGTTGCAAAGACAAGCAAGAAATTAAATTAGCCCTGGGAGGCGAGCAAATAACTGACACATCGTCTGACAGCAGTGATGAAGAGTTCACGTGCACTGTGCTAGAGGTGAACCCCGTGGGACAGTCACACAATAGGCCCCTAAAAACAGTGCTAATTAGCGGCGTTGACATTACGGTACTTCCTGAAAGCGGTGCTACGGTCAACGCGATGGATGAGGCAACGTTCAAGAAATACGGCCTAGACAAAAGACTAAAGGTTAGAAAGTCAGGATGCCAAATAAAACCATACGGGGCAGCCTCAAAAGCAAACACCCTGCCTGTTCTGGGTTGTTTTGAAGCGCTTACGGAATCTAAGACAAAAATGAAAGTGATCACGTGGGAGCTTATAAAAGGAACTACCCGCACCGAACCGTTGCTCGGGTACAATGATGCGAGAGACCTCGGAATGATTCTAGTGACCAATTCAATTGCAACAGACTAGCAACCAGTCAGAAGGGACAGACAACCTGAATGAAGTGTTAGAGAAATACAAGGACCTGTTTCAAGGAATTGGAAAGCTAAAGGGAATCCAGGTCGATTTGAATGTAGACCCCGATTTTAAGTCGGTTGCACAGCCACCACGCCGGCAACCGTTCAGCGTACGTCAGAAGATGGAAGAAGAAATAAAGCATCTTATGGATAAAGAAATCATTGAAAAAGTCAACGAACCTACGGGATGGGTGTCACCGCCTATGGTTACGCCCAAGAAAGATCAGAGCCAGATACGTCTGAACGTGGACATGCGCATGGCAAATCAGGCAATACCCCGCAGACACACCCAGCACCCCACAATAGACTACGTGGTCAATGAGCTGAGCGGGTCAATGGTGTTCTCCCACCTGGATATGAGCAAGGGATACCACCAACTTGAACTCAAAGAGAGTTCGCGGAACGTAACGACCTTTTCAACTCACATTGGCTAGTTCAGATACAAGAGGCTCAACTATGGTACAATGTCAGCTACTCAGATATTTCAAGAGACGATCAGAGAGGAATTGACGCACGACCTGAAGGGAGTTTTCAACATAAGTGATGACATCATTGTGCATGGGCGTGACAAAAAAGAACACGATTCAAACCTGGTAGCATTACTCGAGAAAAGCCGCGAAAAGAATGTCACATTCAACAGAGCAAAATGTGAATTCAGAAAAGATCGCGTGGTCTACTATGGCTTAATGTTCTCTAAAGATGGAGTATCTCAAGACCCATGCAAAGTGAAAGCCATTAAATCTGCGGGACGCCCTAGAAATGCAGCCGAACTTAACTCATTCCTCTGTACGGTTAGATATAGTTCGCGATTCATGGAAGCCAGACAGTATCAGAAAGCGGCGTGCAAACTGGGTGCGCTAGTGACCGGAAAATTCGAACGGAAACCGGAACACTCCGAAGCATTCGAGGAACTTAAGAACATGCTCAGTAACGACACAGTCCAAGCATACTTTGATCCCCTGGCGGAGCAAGAGCTTCATATTGATGGGTGCCCTGTGGGTTTGGCCGCAACGCTTACGCAGAGAAAGCCTGGAGAACAATGTTGAAGAGTGGTGCAATATGCCAGTCGGAGCCTCACCGACCCGGAAAAATGATATAGCCAGATTGAATTAGAAGCTTTAGCAGGTGATTTTGGGTGCAAGAAATTTCACCTGTTCCTGTGTGGAAGACCCTTTAAGATCATGACTGACCACAAGCCTCTGGAAAGTGTGTTCAACAAACCCACCCACACAACCTCGATCCGGGTCCAAAGGATCGTCAAACGTATGATGGACTATGATTTCGTAGTAGAGTACCGTCCTGGGAAAGAGAACATATCAGATTACACATCACGACACCTATGCCACTTCACGAGTGCTCCAAGATCGAATTGAGGACGACTAAGGAGGTACGGCATTATGTAAACTACGTTGTAACGTGCAGCACGCCTAAAGCTGTCACCAAAGACCAGGTAAAGGACTCCACTGAGGAAGACCCACCACTACAAGCACTAAAGAAGTAGAACCAAGGCTGGATAGACACAAATGATACAAGGACACACGAATTTCGGCAAGTTTCCATGACCTAACCATAGTAGACGGGATTGTCTTGAGAGGGGATCGGATCGTTGTGCCAGCAAAACTCAGACATAGAATGGTGGAAATTGCGCATGAGGGTCATCAGGGCCACGTGCGAACAAAACAGCTTTTGAGAGCACATATATGGTTCCCCGGAATGGACTCACAATGTGACAAGTTCGTATCCACTTGCATCGCCTGCCAATCTAACACGCCGCAAACGCATCTCGAGCCACTACGGATGACAGACCTACCTCAAGGACCGTGGGAGAAGGTCAGCGTGGATTTTTGCGGACCAATGGCGAGTGGTGGCCTCGCTCTCGTATTCTACTCTAAATATGCCAGATGCCCAGTGGTTGAATTCGTGGGGTTCACGAGCGAGAAAACAACAATACCGACATTCAAGAGGGTGTTCGACACATATGGAGTGCCAAAAAAAATCAAATCAGATAACGGACCGCCCTTCAACAGCCATAAATTCGAAGAATACGCAAAAGAGGAGGGGTTTAAGCACCGAAAAGTGACACCCGGATGGGCAGAAGCCAACGGCGATGTAGAAAGGTTTATGCAGAGAGTAAAGAAGACCGCTCGGATCACCTCTTTGGAAGGCAAACCTGTGAGGGATGAAGTGAACCCGGGAATCTGGGCATACAGAGCAACTGAGCATGCGACAACTGGAGTCAGCCCGAACAGGCTCATGTTCGGAAGGGAATTACGTGGAAAGTTCCCTGAAGTCAAGGGACAGCTTAAGTATAGGGATGACACGATGATTCGCTGTCGTGACCGTGAGCAAAAACAGAAGATGAAGCAATATGCTGATAAAAGAAGACACACAGCCGTGATGAAAATTAAAGTCGGGGACACGGTGTTGTGTAAGCAGGAACGTAAAAACAGCCTGACACCTCTGTTTGACCCGGATCCTATGGTAGTCATTGGCGTCAAGGGAAGCATGGTCACTGCCAAGAACATTGCGAGGATTCGCACCAGGAATTACGCCGATTGGAAACTGCTCAAAAATAGTTGTAGGGAATCACCGCGGAGTGATGATTCTGATAGCGATGATGCATTTGAACCGGTCCGGTCCAGAGCAAATCCTTAGCAGGGCCAAGTGGAGATGCAGTGCCAGCGGAGAGATCCAGTGAATCACGGAAAGGTCGGGAGCAGCCAAGAGCAACCAGCGACACAGCTGAGTACGAGAGTAGGCAGAGATCTCGGCAGCCCGGATCAGACCATGACACAGAGCGAAGACATGCGCCCTTGGACAGGCCCAGAAGGAAAACAAGATCCACAAAGGACACTAAATATAAGGCTTTATTTGCGAATAGCGAGCATTTGCTTGTCTACTATATTAGAGTCTGTAAAGGACACAAGGGCTTACTTGTTATTAGCAACATTTAATTTATTTAGTTTATTTATTTATTTTTGTTTGCTGTTTTCGTTCGCACCGTTGCGTTTCATCCGCGTGATGGGGGGAGAGAAGTAATGGCGTGACCGCATGCGTGACACGCCTAGTGACGCTAATAGTATGCATATTAGGTGTTGTTATTTTAGAACGTACTATGTTGTATCAGAACGTAGGAAGTAACGGACGCGAGCAGCAGCTTTACGAATCGATTGTGAAACATATACGATGTAATCCCGACATTAAAGGCGTCATCAGTGTAGAAATGACATGATAGGCCATGACTTCTGACAATGTCGCCAAGCGGGGACGTGTACAATACATCATTACGGAACGGCGCCTGTAGATCCGTGTCGCCCGCAAAATCGCGGGTCCCATGACTATTTGCGCGCTCACAAAGGGAGCCGACGCATGTCGCGTCCTTTGATTCAAGACTCAAGTGTTAGGGTATTGTTTCCACGATACAAAGGCAATTTAACTTAAGAAAATCTATAGATCGAAGCTTTCGTGCAACTCGCTGTTTTAAAAGGAAATGCAAACGCTCAACTTGATAAATATTTTGACTTCATAACATATTTTAACGATTTAGGCCAGCAGAATGTATAGAATTCCAGGAAAACAATTCAGGAAGCCGAACGGTTTTAAACTGCGCTAGAAGTTATTTTTATCAGTATGCAAATCACCTACCCAATCACTTACTTTCCATCGAATTGAAATATCCTGACTTTTTTTTACCACTTTTCGATTTGATTCGTTTCATTTTATATTATTTTGTGCAAGCTGAGCTCTTTCATGCGAATTTACGCTTTCAAAAGGAAAAAAACTTTGAGGAAACGTTGTGTTTACAACCACGGCAATTTGTATCTATTTCGCTTCACTTACGCTTATATGCAAATTACTGTTCATCCGCCGGATTTCGCTGGAGACAAAAATATCGATTTTGAATTCCCAAATGCTTGCCTTTTGGGACACCCCTTTTATTTTGGCTATCAAGATTTTAAAAGCTAAGCTTCAGACTTTTCATTCCAACGTTTTAATGCGGGAAAGCTAGGAGAAATGCTCCAACTGATTTAAGTCACGCAACACGCTTTAAGACCGCATAACTTGATCTTTCTGTTATCTTTTGTTCTTCTATTGTCTCCAAAACAATAACGATGTTTTACCAATTTCCACCTACAAATAATAGCACACATTTGATTGACAGAAAAATTTGCATTTACTAGCGACGCGTACTACAGGCGCGATTCCGTAATGTACAATATAGGCCTCAGCACAGATCCTTGGGGAACGCCACACCCCAGGTCCTTGCTACACGATGTTGCCCCCTTCACGTAAACAACTTGTTTACGATTCTCAAGGTAGGACTTAAACCAGCGAAGGGTTTTGCCATTAACACCAAAGCGACAAGAGAGTCTCTGCACAAGAATCTTGAGTAATTACATTAACACAGTTTTATACGGAAAGACTCCGCCCCAAAGTTCAACCCCCCCTTAGGTCTTTTATATACCATTTTTGACAGAAAAGGAAAAGACCTTCAAAATATAATATATAGATTTAGCCAGGGCTAAAAGCGAGGCTCCCATTAGTAAATTTATAATTTAAATTAAACAATAAACTTGTATTCGAATTCCACAATTCAGTTAACTTTAGAGCACATTTATGTGACTTTTGAGGGAAAGGCTACCTGATTTTAGAGAAAAATAATTTGCAAACAGCCCAAGAGTGAACCAAATCTTACATCGAGTTGATTGCCTCATATGTACACTCAAAAACTGGTAATCATCTTTTATCACATTTAAGAGCCGTAATGGCTATTGATCACCGTAGATCAATTAGGCTTAGAAAAAAAACCAGGCCAACGTTTTGGCGTTCGACAAGTTTACTTTGCAAAATCTTGCCAACAAATCTGGGTGCGTGTAAACCAACCTTTTATACCATGGACAGAAAGCAGTATTTCACAATACAAATTGCTCTCATTCAATATTCATAAACTGTTAAAAAAATTTTCCAAAATCACCTATACGGCCATCCGGTTCTCACTTTTGTAGTGCGAGCTGTAGCGAGTGTTTGAATGAACATTAACAGAGTTACGCTCCAAGATAATAAAGAATTTATCATGTTTATTTTTTATTTGATGGTTTAACGCGCGGCATTTTGAGATCGTTGTCTCAAATCTTACAAACGCGCATAAACTAAATTCCCGCATAAACTACGCTCCACTTCATTAAATTAGATACAAAAAACAAACATGAAATACAATTATTTCTCTGGCTTACCATTCGAGATGCAGCTCCTGAAAGTTATCAGGTAAAGCCAGTATCGCTTCAGACTTTGCAATCCTCTTACGCATCAAGCAAGGTGAAAACGAAAACGATGCCATCCGAAATCGGATTTCCGACTTTGACAAGCGACGTTTTCTCAACCAAAAACCCAATAAACAAACTAGCCATGAGTAACAGAAGACTCCTGATAGCAGCTGAATTTCACTTTGTACATCCAGTGGAAAAAGACAGTTAAAAACATCACAAGTTGACACAAAACTCTGTCAGCTTCAGCTGTTAAAGTAAACAAGATTCAAGATGCTGCATAAATTTTGCGCATGAACTCACCTGTCAAATTTTGACCAATCAGAGCATAAAAATTGGACGTAGAGCGTGACCAACGCGTGACCATTGTGAGAAAAAACAAAAGCAACTGTCTTCCCTGCCTGTAACAGCTGGCTGAATTTTCACGTCCGAGGTCAGTTTGCAATCAAAATTTTAATTGTGCAGCACATAAACACAACATATTTCATATGAATTAAGAAAAAAAATTGAACTTGAGCCTGCGATCACTTGAAAACTAGTTTACTTGTCAGCGGCTAACTTCAAAAAATACTTGACCTCGACGGGTCGACACCTGAGCCCGCGATACGGTCAAGTGATACTGGTCAGCGGGTACTCTGTTTTGACAGCTGTCAATTAATCAAAACATTGATGTCCAATATGTGTGCATTATCAGTTTTCCTGTGCTCCCAAACTAGTAAAAGTATGAGATTGAACGTTGTTCGCGATCTAGTAAAACAGTTAACTGGTCAGCGGACAGCTTCCAAATAAATCACGTCACCTCGATGAGTTGACACATGAGCCCGCGATATGGTCATGGGATACTGGTCAGTGGCTATCCTGTTTGGACAGCTGTCAATTGACCATATTGTTAATGTCCTATATTAAAGATGTGGACTTGCCAAGACACGCCTGAGACACCCCTCCCTTCCTTTTGATAGTCTCCCCTACCCCACCCATACAATCTGTAGACGCGTACGTACGTACGTACGGACGCTCGGTCAATCACGTGACAACCAAACGAAAAGAGGTTGACCATATTCCATGGGTATGGGGCTCTGTCCCACGCGCGCTTCGCGCGCGCGGGAGCCCCGCTATAATTCATAGATTCCAGCCCTCTTCCACATGCTTGAACTCGTGTATTGCTACCCTTTCATCGCCTGAAGCAAGAAAAAGGTACGCCTTTCGGACGAAGCTTCCCAGTATAAGTCATCAAATATAATGGAGTGGCCCTCCCCGGCCTACGACCAAGAGAGATAATCATCTCACCTGACATCGATGAGAGACGCAAATTTTAACCAACCCAAGTTGCCTTCGTGGAAACAATTTGATATAAACATTGCGTATGCGTAACGGAGCAATTGTAAGTTTAGTTCAGAGAAATTTTGAGGTACATATTTCCTTACTGTGCACAAAACCTTTTCAAGATACTAATTTTTATGAGCCTTTCGTTTACGTGCTGATCAGTGCACAAACATGGTTTTATTGCAAGATCGCATCTAGGCTTTGATTTCGTTGTAGTTTTTCTGCCAAGAACTACATCGATTGATCATCCAAAAACGGATGGATCACAGTGTTAGATTTACATTTAAAATGTAAATATACAGTCGAACCTTCACTAACTGCCACCTCTTTCCCAGTTCATCGAGGTCAACCAAAAACATGAAGCATACACGAGGTAAAAACAACAAACCGGTCATAAAGTACTGGAAACAATTTTGAAAATAAAAAAGATGGCGGCCGAACTCGCGGAGAAATTTGCTTTGGCTTTCAAAGACGTCTCCTGGCAAATTATTTTCGCGCTGTCTACCCCTCATGGGTTCAGGTCAAATTCAAAGGAAAACGAAAAAAAAGTTTTTGTTTTTTTTTCACATTCCTTGTTTTAAAAGACTGTGTTGGTTTTAAAGGCAGACGAGAGATATCACGATATCAGGTAGTACCGTTTGCAATTTTAAAAAACTTTGGTTTTAATCTTTCCGTGATAGCCTGCGCAGCTGAAAATCCATACAAAAATGGCGAATTTGGCTGGTTTTCAGCGCGAAAAACCCAGTGAAATCCGATATGTTGGCATTAATAATCGAAGTTGATGTTTCTTGTTATTTATATTCCGGTGGTACCAATCGAATACCAAGTACCAATTGGTACAGGTTCTGCAATTCTGCTTCAAATCGTAACTTGTCAAAGAAACTGCTTCATTTTACAAATGAAATCATTTCAAGTGCTCATTACTTTGCAAAGTAAATCAAATCTCCGCTTATCTTCAGTTGGAAAAAAGGCTAATATTATTGTAGTGCATTTTATTTCATTAATCGTTACATGTTATCGATTCAGTACGTCGCAGAGCTTATAAGGATGTCATTATGCTAGCAAACACAGCGGCTTTATCTGTTCAAATAACGCCGCTTCATTTAATGAGTTAGAAGTGTCACATGAAAACAAATATAATTGACTTTCTACCCTGTGTGCATAAATCAATTTCTGGGTTTTCCTTAAAATACGTACTGGTTTAAAGATTAAGAGGCAGTCTCCCTAAAAGCGTTCCACTCGATTTCGGACTCGAAAAAACTTTTGCCTTTTATTTTTATCATCAACACTACTATCCATCCTGATAACGAAATTGTAGTTAGAATGAGGAAATTGTTTATTTTACTGCCATTACCAGCATTTCATTGCTGGACCACTGTTAGCGGCTAAAATATACAAATTTTAGATGCGGTTTTACAGGTTTTTTAACGATCGTTTAAAAGTACTTCGAGTCATCAAATGCTAGACTGTTCGCACTCATTTGGAAGCATATTTCTTCTTCTTACTGTTCCAATACCATTTAGGCATTATCTTTCTTTAGTATGTACTAAAACAGTGGATAGTGTTTTTCGCGCGCTCTGATTGGCTTCTCAATCAGTGAATATCCTGCACTATTCACCGATTCACCTCCAGTTCCTCCGAGCGAGCGACGCCAAAGTCACGTAAGTTGCGAGCAAAATTCCTTCCCGGTTAGCTACCGTAACAAACTAAGAAATTTCACAAATAATCAAGCTAGCTATTCCCAAAACACATGAAGAACGTGACAAAGTTCGGTTTGGAAGTTTTAACAGGTAAAGCTTTGTCTTTCTTACTTGAATTTATCGATAAAACCGGTGAAAACGTTTTTTGTTTACAAATGCAAATTAATCTTCAGTCTTGCATTACTTTATTTAGTTGACTTGTTCATAAATAAGCTTAAAACTAAATTTAATAATCTTTTTTACAGAATGATTTAAAATACAAACAGAATTCACAACTCCTTTTGAAGAAACTTCCCCGCAAGAGCTAAACAAAAGCCTTCAAAAGTTTTATTTGTCACCAAGAAAAAGCGACGACCGCGGCCGTTCCGTCAACGCGCCAAAATTGTAATCGTTGGCAACAGTAAATGAGTTAAAGATCATCATTTTTGTGCTCAATTATCTCACTGTTTTAGTATATACTAAAACAATTATTCACCTCAGTGTCGGTGGCTAGTAGTGGAAATTTACCTCGCCGCTTCGCGGCCTCGGTAAATTTCTAGTACTAGCCACCTCCACTTCGGTGAATAATTGTTATCTAATCAGCAAAAACTGGTCGTCTTTATTTCACTAATCCAACTAAGAATGCAAAACGCACGAATAAATGCCTCAAAAACATCGTAAAAATTCTCAAAAGTGGCATCTAAACTAGACCTAAAAACATGTTTTAGTTAAAGATTAAGAGCTATTTTGTCAAGTTATGAAATAAAACTTGTAGCTTAATGCGATTCAGAATTGAAGGATTTGACTTAAATTTGCATATTTGATGCTGAATTCGCATTGCGTGACACCGGCCGCTGTGATAGTAACAAAATTCTTCATGATCCTACAAATGACAATTTTCCTGTTTTTTTTTTTTTTTTTTTTTTTACTTTATCAACAAGAAAAATCGGAAATAGGTTAAGCTTATAGACGATTAAGTTTACTTTTCCACTTACCTTCGTATTAATAGTCTCGGCCGGCCGTCCGTTGTGTTGGCCTTCTTGGTAGTAGAGTGGGTCGGGAAAAATACGCATTACTCCCTACCCCACCCCCTCGCCCTTTTCTTACTCGCATCCCTCGGAGGGTCGCCCCCACAGTCTGGACGCCTTGAAGAGGCTATTCGACACACTTCAATCGCGCTCTAAACGAACATTTCTGTTTTCCAGATAACATTAACGAGAACCATGTTTCTCCTGTCTAGTGACAGGTGCAAGTATTTACATTTTGCAGCGAGAAGGTCCTTCACACATTCATGAAATGTACATTGAATTAAGTTAGTGTCCCGATACCTTTTGGAATTTGATGACAGTATAAATTTTTAGATGTATAAATCTACCGGCCTTCGATCACAAATCTGATTGTCTATGCACAGTGCTAGTGCTATGCTGGTAATGCTGTACGCTATCAATTCCGGGATGGACAGTGAGTGAAGTGACTGAGTAGCCTGACAGTGTTCGGTTGTAGCCTGTTTATACCACCACTAAATAAAACCGTTAGCCTGTCAAGTTGTTAAGCTTTCAACGACTAGGGGATTTATATTTGACTATTTTAGGTAAATTTGTACCATATCTTCGTTTCCTCGCATGCAATCTCGCTCGTTTTTTGTTTTTGTTTTTGTATTTTTTTTTTATAAGATTTGTGAAGTAGTTGTGTCTTTATATTCTTTGTCATAGCATCTCGGTATGCTGAGACATAAAAGCAATAAGATCCTCTCTGAGTGGCTCAACAACATTGTCCGCGGTAGGCTGGTCTATCAAATGAGCACCGCATCGGAGTCGCAAAAACGAAATCCGGCGGCGCCTAATTTAGTAAAATCGATATCAATATGAATTTGGATCCACACGGAGGGTCCAAAGGCCGATTTTAAAAATGTGATCCTAGATCCTTCAGCTGTTCTTCAAATGTATGAATTTTACATCATTAACGTAGTAGAATGCAAGAGTCTGTAAGAACAGGGTAATAACCGCTAACAAGACGTGAGACGAGAAAAGACGTAAAAATAGTGTCGAGGTCTCGACCTGGAGAAATGTTCATGCTGGGGAAACCTTCGACAAGGCTGGATTCAGACTTCGCGTCAGTTCTCACCTCTACTGATTGTTCGAATTCAAAGGTTTTTGTCCACGTTGAGCTTCAAAAGAAAATTTTGTTAGCGAATAGAGAACCGAAGTGATGACGTCATAAAAATGAAATTTGTGAAATTATGGGATTTGTTAAGATATTCTGAAAGAACAACGTCCAAGGCGCCTACTCGTCAAAAATTAGCAATTCGGGGCAAATTGTCTCTGAGATATTAGCCCAGTTATGCTCTGACGATTCCATACAAATCCTTCTAAATTTGGCTCGGTTAATAATATTAGGAACCAGGTAAGATTTAGAAGGATTTGTATGGAGTCATCGGAGCATAACTGGGCTAATATCTCAGAGACAATCTGCCCCAAATTGCTAATTTTTGGCGAGTAGGAGTCTTGGACGTTGTTCTTTCAGAATATCTTAACAAATCCCATAATTTCACAAATTTCATGTTCTATGACGTCACACTTCGGTACTCTATTCTCCATGGTACCAAACAATTGTCATGAGTACTCTCAGTAATATGCCTAAAGGTAGGTAATCACGATTTCGACTCCACAAGGTTTAGATATTCAAAGGATGCGGTTATCACTTTCTGTTTCACGCGTGTATCTTGTGATATTCAAATCCGTCAGCTCATAAATGATATCAAATGTGCAAGTGCATTAGCTGACTGCGTAACCTTATGCCATAGTGCAACAGTGATTAATATGAGGATATTTGACTTACAGCCACTTCCTACTTTTGTCCATAACTTCATTATGTTTGGATCTTCACTTCCCGCACATTTTTAAATAAAAAAAATTGAGTGGACTACTGAGTTTATCATTGTCTGACCTTGAAATTACGATTACGACAATACCCATTGGCCCTTTTGTCGTTATCTTATCACTGACAGTGATAAGGATATTAGACATGATTTTACGATTTTATACGTACGTGATCCCATCATCTAGAATAGATGGTATACGAGCTTCGCAATCTCCAATCCAGTTACATGCCTGTCCTTGGTCCTAATACTCCTTTCTTGGTTCTCTAGGCGAAGAACGAGGTGGCCGCCAAAATCGTCCGAGTTTATATTCCGATAATTGTGGGTAATCCCCGGCATGGACTCCCATATAAAAGTGAAGGGGCTACTCGTCGGGAAAATTAATTTAAACCCCTCAGGGAGGACAATGTGGGTGTGGCTCAAGCTTAAACTGACCCCTAAGGGAGATTTCTGTGAGGTCAGCATCATGGCCTTTTTTTTGTTGCAAATTTCTTTATGCACAGCCCTAAGCGATACCTGAATGAGAATATTTAGTTACTTTCCGTCCCAAACAACCGAAGTGAGACCAAAATCTGCAAACGACGAGCACCCACGTCACTTTCGTATGGGAGCCCTCCTGGGGAAGCAGATCACCATCTGTTCCACTTTTCGTAAGGTCAATGATTACCATCTTTTGAGAGTACTGGCTCTGCTTCACTTAGTTCAAACTTCGATGGATGACAGTTTCATGGTGAGAAGTAGTGGGGTCCTGACATTCGTGTACTTTTATCAGTTGGGAAAAACCGCGTGAACTTCCACACTTTTTTTTCTTGTTACTTTCACTGATGTTACACGATTCGAAATTAATGTTGAAACTTTATTATTTGCGTGTGCCAACTTCTTTATTAACTGGCTGCGATACAAAAGTAGCCTAGTTGGACTCCGGGCTGCCTCTTGGAGCGTGAAAGCAAAAGCTGACCACTCTTATTAGGAAGAAACAGTCAGTAAAAGGAAGAAATCTTCATTAACAAAGGTCTTCAAATGTGGACTCCTGATCAGTGGAAGGTAAATAAAGGAAAAATAGTAACTCGCCGTTCACAGTCCAGTACTATCGCCCCACGTTACCGAATACAAGACAGTCTTGGATTCTGGATCCCATTCATTTATTCTGGATTCCGGGTGCGGGATTCCAGTCTTTTCCAGTGGAACTTGGATTCTAGATTTCATTCCTTAGTAGGGTACTTGATCTCTATTCTAGATTCCAAAGCCCTGGATTCCGGATTCCATAGGCAAGATTTTCCCGGATTCCGGATCCTACAAGTAAAAATTTTCCAGATCCCGGAATCCGGATGCCAGTCAAACATTTTCTGACCTGTTCACGCATATTTAATTAAGCAGTGGGAAATTTACTTTTCTTCTAACGTTCAGTTTTATAATATGATGGATCGGAGTAACTTATGGCTCTTGCTTCTGGTCAATGCAGTTTTTTCAGACTGGACCACATTTTAAGCTAGAAGAGGTTTGGTTCTGAAAAGGCATTTTTCCGTCTTGACATAACAGACTTAACACGAATGTTCGGGGCAGTGGGAAATTAAATGATGCTTGGAAAGGTATCTTTTACTTGCTGAACTAATTTTTGAACAATATATATCATTGGCAAAGGGAAAAAGAGAATTTTAATATAGTTTTGGTGAGAAAATGAGGCAGATCTTACTTAAAAGTGGCAAGTATTTGAATAACCGAGGATTTTGCTGTGACAGCAGCTGGTATCGTCATTGCCTAAATTTGAGTTGAAACCTTCAATTCTGAATCGTGTTGTGCCACAAGTTTTATTGCATAACTTGACAAAATAGCTATTAATCTTTAACTAAAACATGTTTTTAGGTCTAGTTTAGGTGCCACTTTTGAGACATTTCTGATGATTTTGAGGCATTTTTTCGTGCAGTTTACTTTCTTAATTGGATTAGCGAAATAAAGACGACCAGATTTGCTGATTACAGAAAGATAGTGCCTAAATGGTATTGGAACGGTAAGAAGAAGTAATATGCTTCCAAATGAGTGCAAATAGTCTAGGATTTGATGACCCGAAGTACTTCTAAAAGATCGTTAAAAAACCTGTATAACAAAGACTAAAATTTGCATATTTTAGCCGCTAACGGCCGTCCAGCAATGAAATGCTGGGAATGGCAGTAAAATAAATAATTTCCTCATTCTAACTGCAATTTAGTTATTGGGATGGATAGTAGTGTTGATGGTAAAATTATAAGGCAAAAGCTTTTTCGAGTTCAAAATCGAGTGGAACGCTTTTACGGAGAGTGCTTCTTAAATGCTGGAGTCAATCTGTCAAGTTTTTATAGCACAGGAGAAATGAGTATACTAATTAATTCTTGAAAAGTCTTTCCGTTATTTACTACTATAAAATAACCAAGATAGTACGCGCGATCTGATTGGCCCAGAGGAAAGTTTGCATGCGAGTATGTAGACATGGTGGTGGCGTCAAGATGTTTTGCTTTTCGCGTTCTAAACACGCAAGCACGAATTTGAAAACGTTTTCGAGTTCAAAACTCAACCAGTTTACTTTATTTACCCATTCCTTCGTCGGCTGAAACTTGGAAAATCGTTACAAAGAAGGTGTGTCAATTTTTCTTCGCTTAAGCTGACATTTTAAGCGAGAAAAATCCGTATCTTGGAAAGCATCTTTTTGTAAAACAAGAACTGATTAACCGTACTGTGTTTGCGTAGCCTGATATAAACACCCGAGGCGTTGGGAGAATTCTCGACAAATATGCATATATGATTGACAGTTCTCAGAAATATTTTGTGTACAATTATTCAATAATTAACTGAACGTAGCGAGACGAAACGTTCTCAATAAAATGATCTTCATTTGAAAGAGTCGATCCGCGACTGAAATTTATAAAAAGTCATTCACGATATTTCTCCGTATGTATCCTGCTGTACTGTTAAGTTTGACATATCGGGCAGTGTAAAACTAAAAAAAGCCAATATTTTGACATGACTACATCATTTTAAACACCTCTCATTTTAAACGTAAAAGTGGTTTCTTTTTTTCCGTAAGAAAGTGATAGTTGTTTCCTATTTTGACCCACTTCAGCTGAAGGCTAAGAGCTATGAGGAGCGACAACAGTCCCATCGCATTTTGAAGCCTTGCATCGATCACTATAGACTTCGAAAATTGATCAGAAAGCTGGTTTTCATGGGCAATTTTGCGTCTTTTACGGTTAATAAACTGGAAGTGCAGCATTTTACGATAATATATACTGGTTTGACGTGGAAAGAACGACCACTGATAACAGTAGTAAATCTGTATTTTACTATCATTAGGTCTCTACTCCAAAAGTACATTTGACACCCCAAAAACAATTTGACATGTTGATCGAATTTTGAACTTGATTTTCTTTTCAGTACCACCCCTTTTTCAATTAACTACTGCAAACGGTGAAACTATAAAGTTCTGTTTAAAAAAAATAAGTAATGCAGAATAGGCAACGGCAGGCTCGAACAGTAACTGTTGGAGAAATACCAGTGACAGACCATTCATTATTAAGAAGGGATTGGGAAATTCGAAGGTAATAAAAATGTTATTTAAAATCGCTGAAAGGTTTTTGAAGGGTTTTACCTTGTCTTGAGCTGCCTTCGACTGAACTCACGGCAGCAGATCAATTGCTTCAACACTGTTTGCTTTCGTTAAACATTACCTCCTCCAGGTCACTACCTGTGTTTGTTTGGTTGTTTCCTAAGCCTAAGCTGAAGTGAGCTTTATCTCATCAAAGGAGAAACGTTTGTTGGACCTCTTTCTGAGGAAAACAAACGCCGAAGCTTTATGTGCATAGAACAGCTGGGACGAGCGCGACGGCCCGTTTTTAACGTTAAGATAACTATTTTTACGCTACTCTGTGATTGGAAGATTTTTTCATTTTTTGACAGACAATATGTCTTGAGGTCCATGCGCAGACTTGCCATTTTTAAAAATTCAGTAACGAACAAAATAGAAATAATTACATAGACAAAAACGAATAAAACAATAGCGAAAACAACGTGTTTTCTTTAAAAGCCCTGTAAACCTATTAGGCTTATTAACAGAACATAAATTCAATATTATTTTACGGCGTTTTTCTCGGAATTTTTTTTTTTGCAATTTGTACGAAGAGAGAAATTTTAAAAAATGCAGATTTGTGGTTATAATTTTGAACCACAGCGGCTTACCATCTGCAACCATTGATCCATTGCCTTAAATTTGGGGACAAGTAGCATGCACTATTAGCGTATTCTGGGAATCCCAGTTTTTGGTCCTTCAGAACAGAAACGGGCCAAAAAATCGATACGACTTAAATTCGCAGCTGCCGGTGTTTGGTTCACGTTATTTCAATCGAGGTTTTTTACACTTACTTAATACCTTACCTAATAGACAGCAGTTATTCTCAAGTATTGTGGATTTTCCAAGTGATGTTGAACACATTCATCGGCAAATATGTCAGAGAAGTTATGAGAGCAGTAAAAGCGTTATAGTTTTGTAGCCGTATACAGAATTTTCCTGCTCTTTCGCCACCGCTGCATGAGGTAATGAATTAATACGACATTGCCAGCTTTAGTTAAATGTTGCTGTCAAATTAACCAACACTTTTAATTTAAACAACCTGATAGGTGAAAAACATACGAAGGGCAAAAAAGTAATAAAGAAAGACTTAAAGACCAACGAATAACAAATAATACGAGCAAACAAAACGCAAAAGAAATGGAGTCAACTTAACAAAATTAATAGATTCGTAAATATAAGGTGTTTTATAAGCTTATACAACAATGTTATGGTTAAACAGCCTGGTTTAAAGATTAAATGCTGGAGTCAATCTGTCAAGTTTGACAGCTAAAGTTTTCATAGCACAGGAGAAATGAGTATACTAATTAAGTCTTAAAAAGACTTTCCGTTATTTACCACTATAAAATAACTAAGATAGTACGCTCGCTCTGATTGGCCGAGAGGAGTGTTTGCATGAGAGTATTTAAACATGGTTGTGGCGTCAAGATGTTTTGCTTTTCGCGTGCTAATCACACAAGTTTGGAAAAGAATTTGAGTTTAAAACTCGACAATTCTACTTTATTTATCCATTCCTTCGTCGGCTGAAACTCGGAACATCTTTACAAACAAGCTGTGTCAATTTTTGTTTTCGCTTAAGCTGACATTTTAAGCGAGATTTGAGTTTGCATAACTGTCTCCTTTTTAAACGCTTAGAGCAATATCCTTTAAAAAGGATATGGCTGTGCGAATATCGATTCTGTTATTGTGACTAATAGTAATGACTGCAATCATGATATTAGAAATAAATTCTTGACTACTGTTTGATTGACAGTTCTCAGAAATAGGTTTTTGGGGGTTTTGTGTTCAGTTATTGAATATTTAACTGAACGTAGCGAGACGAAACGTTCTCAATAAAATGATCTTCATTTGAAAGAGTCGATCCGCGACTGAAATTTATTAAAAGACATTCACGATATTTCTCCGTATGTATCCTGCTGTACTGTTGAGTTTCACATATCGAGCAGTGTAAAACTGAAAAAGCCAACATTTTGAGATGACTACATCATATTTTAAACACCTGTCATTTTAAAAATAAAAGTGGTTTCTGTTTTTCCGTGAGAAAGTGATAGTTGTTTCCCATTTTGGCCCACTTCAGCTGAAGGCTAAGAGCTATGAGGAGCGACAACAGTCCCATCGCATTTTGAAGCCTCGCATCGATCACTGTAGACTTCGAAAACTGATCAGAAAGCTGGTTTTCATGGGCAATTTTGCGTCTTTTACGGTTAATAAACTGGAAGTGCAGCATTTTACGATAATATATACTGGTTTGACGTGGAAAGAACGACCACTGATAACAGTAGTAAATCTGTATTTTACTATCATTAGGTCTCTACTCCAAAAGTACATTTGACACCCCAAAAACAATTTGACATGTTGATCGAATTTTGAACTTGCATGATTTTCTTTTCAGTACCACCCCTTTTTCAATTAACTACTGCAAACGGTGAAACTATAAAGTTCTGTTTAAAAAAAATAAGTAATGCAGAATAGGCAACGGCAGGACAATACTCGAACAGGAACTGTTGGAGAAATACCAGTGACAGACCATTCATTATTAAGAAGGGATTGGGAAATTCGAAGGAAATAAAAATGTTATTTAAAATCACTGAAAGGTTTTTGAAGGGTTTTACCTTGTCTTGAGCTGCCTTCGACTGAACTCACAGCAGCAGATCAATTGCTTCAACACTGTTTGCTTTCGTTAAACATTACCTCCTCCAGTTCACTACCTGTGTTTGTTTGGTTGTTCCCTAAGCCTAAGCTGAAGTGAGCTTTATCTCATCAAAGGAGAAACGTTTGTTGGACCTCTTTCTGAGGAAAACAAACGCCGAAGCTTTATGTGCATAGAACAGCTGGGACGAGCGCGACGGCCCGTTTTTAACGTTAAGATAAGTATTTTTACGCTACTCTGTGATTGGAAGATTTTTTCATTTTTTGACAGACAATATGTCTTGAGGTCCATGCTCAGACTTGCCATTTTTAAAATTCAATAACAAAAAAAATAGAAATAATTACTTAGACAAAAACGAATAAAACAATAGCGAAAACAACGTGTTTTCTTTAAAAGCCCTGTAAACCTATTAGGCTTATTAACAGAACATAAATTCAATATTATTTTACGGCGTTTTTCTCGGAATTTTTTTCTTTTTTTTTTGCAATTTGTACGAAGAGAGAAATTTTAAAAAATGCAGATTTGTGGTTATAATTTTGAACCACAGCGGCTTACCATCTGCAACCATTGATCCATTGCCTTAAATTTGGGGTCAAGCAGCCTGCACTATTAGCGTATTCTGGGAATCCCAGTTTTTGATCCTTCAGAACAGAAACGGGCCAAAAAATCGATACGACTTGAATTCGCAGCTGCCGGTGTTTGGTTCATGTTATTTTAATCGAGGTTTTTTACACTTACTTAATACCTTACCTAATAGACAGCAGTTATTCTCAAGTATTGTGGATTTTCCAAGTGCTGTTGAACACATTCATTGGCAAATATGTCCGAGAAGTTATGAGAACAGTAAAGGCGTTATAGTTTTGTAGCCGTATACAGAATTTTCCTGCTTTTTCGCCACCGCTGCATAAGGTAATGAATTAATACGACATTGCGAGCTTTAGTTAAATGTTGCTGTTAAATTAACCAACACTTTTAATTTAAACAACCTGACAGGTGAAAAACATGCCAAGGGCAAAAAAGTAAAGAAAGACTTAAAGGCCGACGAATAACAAATAATAGCAAACAAAACGCAAAAGAAATGAAATCAACTTAACAAAATCAATAGATTCGTAAATATAAGGTGTTTTATAAGCAATATAAATTTATATATCTATAAATGAACTGGTGGACTAAATTACATTGTACTTTCATCTATATTAGCCCCAAATATCGAACTTCTGAGTCAACGCAAAACAATTGCATTTAAGTCCCAAGTCTTTTTAAAAGGAAATCTGTTAATAAATGGCTCACACCTTGGGGGCCTAAGTGATGGATTCTCGCGTTCCATTAAACTCGGATTAGAATTGTTTCTCAGCAAATTGGCCGGAAACCAGATATCTCAAGAGCACTTTACATTTTACGATTATTTTACGGTCTACCGTTTGCATTGCGTGGGTACTAAAATATTAATAACTGGCTCCCTTTTTTTCCCTTGTATTATCAGTCTTTTCTCAGTGAAATCTAATCCTCAGAAGTAAAGGAAACATTTTTTAATGGTGAAACACAAAATATCGTTAATTAATGTTTTCCACCGTTTATTTTTATTTAGTAAAGACCGAGAGACATCGAAAGAACGACTTCAACTTCTTACAAACCCACGAGAAATGATTTGTCTACTCACTGGTGTTTGTCACTAATAATATTCATTTAGTGTTAAATATTTATCATCATGATGGCACTTGTACAGCGAAAACTCAATTTTTATTTTAAGATATTGGCGTTATCGTTAAGTCTAATCTACTGCAAGATCCGAGTGATTATCCATGTTTGTGACAAAAAGAAATCAATTTCGCCGTATTTAAAACCTTTTATGACATCAAACTTAATTAGTAAGAGTGAAAAAAAAAACGTTATTCGTGATAATAAGCACTATCCTTTGCATAGACCTCTTTGGCAACAGAGAGAGGCTGAGGAGAGAGGAAAAGAAAGCATAAGGGGATGCTTCTTCATTTCCTGTTCCCATCATTCCCCGGGCGCTGTTTTTAGGGACCAGTCATAATTTAAGTTGGAAGGAGGGGTGGAGGAGAAATTGGGGGGCCTTCAATTTTTTTTTGATGGAATATGGGGGGCCTAAAAATGCCAAAAGATGTCCTTGGGGGGTCTTCAAGTTTCTTTTAAGTAGCATCCCTACTGAGCAGCATGATGTTTGAGTATTAAAGGACCTGATTTTGATTCAGTTTTACACAAAGTCCTATATTGTGTAATACTAAAACAATTTAATCAGCATTTTTACAAAAAGATTTAATGCTCAAATAGTAGGTGCATCAACACAACATCCATTATTGTGTAACACTGAAACAATTTCATCGGCATTTTAACAAATGATTACATGCATAAAGTCATGTTATGCAATCTCACTATCCGAATCATTATTTGTAGATGAGGTTGATGCGGACTCACTGTCTGTGTCACCGTCAAGTTTTTCGCTAATTAGACAATGTACTGGTCATATAAAAAGCAGTAAGCTTTGGCTGATTATCTTCTTTCTTCCTTGAAGCGGTCCTTTACACAATCACTGATATATCCTTGCTCTATAAGCTGTTTGAGAGGCTCTAGGTGAAATCTCTTTCTCAGTTTAGTGTGAAGTGCTTCTCTGTTGTTAGTTGGCACATTCGGAAGTGACAGTGAGTAAGAACGGTAAAGTAAAGAAAATGTTATTTGTTATTACCATTTGGGTATTATGTATAAGAAAGGGGGGCCCTTAAATCTTTTAACATAATTGAAATCTTTTAACATAATTGAAAACATGGGTGCTATTAGTGGGGGGTCTGGAAAAAATTTGGAATAAAAAACAATTTCTCCTCCACTCCCCCCTTCAACTTAAATTATGACTGGTCCCTTACAATTACTTGCCTTTTATTTTCGGAAAACCCTCTGAGAGCCTCTACTGAGGAGAAAGGAGCACTAGCAAGCCATCAACGACGGTAACGGCCTCCATTAACCATGTTTTGAATCCGAAAAATAAGGAACGCATAAGAATCATAGACAGGAAAGGTCAACAGATTGTTTTAATTGAAAACGTTTTATTCAAGGTGACCACAGCTTGTGCGGCATCCTTTGTGATCCCACCGAAAGCGAATAGGAGGAAAAGACATCTTACTTTGCGGACAATGAAAACTGGAACATTTCTAAACCTTTTAAAGCCGTATTTGCTTTCAGTCACAGACGGCGGTACCTTTTTAATCAGTTTTCGAAAACTATTTGTACAATCATAAAACATAATGAGCTTTTGCACCAGGCAGAGTACATGAAGTTTTCTGACGTAACTTGCAGAGTCCCTGATAATGCAATAGACCCAGCGTGTAAGAACCTGCTGGCAGAAATTTTCCATTTTACTACACTTCTTAAGCCAAGCCCTTGTTCTTTCCCGGCGACTTTATATATCTTTACAAGGGGCATAAATTCGATAATAAATGTGAGGAAAATTTCTTAAAGTTCCCGAGAGCCCCACAAAAATATCACGCCACCGCGCTAGCTATATTGTTGTTTTCGTTGCTGTTTAACTGAACGTATAGCTAGACGAAACGTTCACAATAAAATCATCTTCATTTGAAAGAGGAAACCCGCGACTGAAATTTGTAAAAAGTCATTCACGATATTTCTCCGTGTGATCCTGCTGTACTGTCTGCTACACATTTTTTTTTAGTGTTGTCACGCAACGCCGCTCCCCACAAACGGCCGCTGAGAATCGAACCACATTCCTAGAATTCAGCTTCCATTTTCTGGAAGGTGTTCGCGCCAAGGTGACTCCTCCAATCACAGCTTTGCTTTTATCGGTGGTGCTCCATGTGGAATGACAGAACAATAAAAATCGTCGCGTGAAAACAAGCCATTAACTGGAGAAGTGTTGTCGTAGTCCTATTCAAAATCTATGAGATAAGCAGCTGCAGCAAGCAAGTCGAGCAAATGTGGTGCACAACATGCATGGATGTGCTTGTAAAGTTTCCGTGTATGTTTTGGGAAATCGCTTATCGATAATTTATAAGATTGCTTTAAGTTGAATAAGTACCCTTGGGAGTTTAGTCCTCACATGTACAGTAACCCCAGAGCAACACAATAAGCACATCCGGCACACGAAATTCATCATATATATGCCCCCGGACATATGCACGTTGAAGAACCAACCGATCCTAGTAAGAGTCTTTTTCTTTTAACCTTGGAACTTTTATGCAAATTTTAATTCAAAGCTTTTCGTAGCTTATAGACACAAAGACAGGCCGTCCAATTATTCAGCGACGATTGATTGACATGTCGAACATTGAGAGGCGTGTTCGCATCCTAAAGCCCTGCGGCTCACGTATTCTCAAGTTTCTTTTTCATGATAGGTTTCTTCGTTAGACTACAAACACAAAGGGAAAGGAATGTACTGGTTCGGTTCTCAGCAGACTTTTGTAGGGAGAAATGTTGCGTGACGACGCTAATAACGGCTGTGTAGCAGACTAGCTGTACTGTTGAGTTTGACATATCGAGCAGTGTAAAACTAAAAAAGCCAATATTTTAAGATGACTACATCATTTTAAAGACGTGTCATTTAATAAACATAAAAGTAGCTTATGTTTTTCCGTTAGACGGTTGTTTCCTGTTTTGGCCCACTTCTGCTGAAGGCTAAGAGCTATAGAAATGAAATCAACTGAACGAAAAGTGAATAGATTACTAAATATACGGTGTTTTATAAGCTTATATAACAATATTATGGTTCAGTGGCCTCAAAAATCCATGTATCTAATGTATCTTATTCTTTGTTCCAAAGAGTATATAGAAATTAGTGTGTATCACTGACTGTATATGTTTAATTCTTAGTGAGAAAAATCATGGTAATATCTTTAAATGAACTGGTGGACTAAACAACATTGCACTTTCATCGATATTATCTCCAAATATCGAACTTCTGAGCCTACGCAAAACAATTGCTTACGTCCTATGTCTTTCTAAAAGGAAATCTGCTAATAAATGGCTTACACCTTGGGGGCCTAAGTGCTGGATTCTCATGTTTCCGATCCTTTAAACTCGGATTAGAATTGTTTCTAAGCAAATTGGGAAACCAGATATCTCAAGAGCAGTTTATTTACGATTCTTTTAAGGTCTACCGTTTCCATTGCATGCGTACTAAAATATTAATGACTGGCTCCATTCTTTTTTTCCCTTATCAGTCTTTTCTCAGTGAAATCTAATCCTCAGAAGTAAATGTAAAGGAAAACAAAATAATGGTCAAATCACAGGTTATCGTTAATTAATGTTTTCTACCGTTTATTTCTATTTATTAAAGATCAAGAGACATAGAAAGAACGACTTCAACTTCTTACAAACCCACGAGAAATGATTTGTCTACTCACTGGTGTTTGTCACTAATAATATTCATTTAGTGTTAAATATTTATCATCATGATGGCACTTGTACAACAAAATCTCAATTTATATTTTAACATATTCGTGTTATAGTTAAGTGTAATCTAATGCAAGATCTGAGTGATTATCCATGTTTGTGACAAAAAGAAATCAATTTCGCCGTACTTAAAACCTTGTATGACATCAAACTTTAGTAAGAGTAAAACAAAAACCTTATTCATGAGAATAAGCACTATCCGTTGCATAGGCCTCTTTAGCAACAGAGAGAGGCTGAGGAGAGAGGAAAAGAAAGCATAAGGGGAGATGCTTCTTCATTTCCTATTCCCGTCATTCCCCGAGCGCTATTTTTACAATTATTAAACCTTTTATTTTTGGAAAACCCTCTGAGAGCCTCTTCCGACGGTTAACGGCCTTCATTAAACCTTTTTTTAGAATCATATTTTTAATCCGAAAAAAAAAGAAAGCATAACAAAAACAGACAGGAAAGGTCAACAGATTGTTTTCATTGATTTTTCTTTTTTGTCCATTACAAGGCTTATCCCAACTTGTGCGGTATCCCTTGTGATCCTAAGACACCGAATAGGAGGAAAAGACATATTACTTTGCGGACAATGAAAACTGGAACATTTCTAAACCCTTCAAAGCCGCATTTTTTTCAGTCACAGACGGCGGCACCTTTTTCCGACGACCATCAGCTATATGTAACAGGGTCCGACTACGACATCGTATCTTCAAGGCTACAAAATCAAGGAAAGTTAGCTATGCCATGGTACAGAGATAACTTTCTACTTGCTAACACAGAGAAGTTTCAATGTCTTACTATCAAACCAAGAAACAATGACTCAGATAAACAGACTGAAGCTCTGCAGATTGAAGATTAGATCATTGCCAACACTTCGCATATCAAATTACTTCGGGTTGAAATAGATTGCAAGCTTAATTTCACCAACCATATCAGTATAAGTCAAGTAAAAGGCTAGTCAAAACGTTGGTGTACTATTGAGACTGCCAAATTTGATACTATGCAAATTCAGACTCATACGAAAACCCTCTCGTTCGTGCAGAACTACCTTCACTACTAAATCGAAGACTGCAAGATATCGTTATATTAATGTACAAAGTAAAATATGGCCTCACGCCGAGTATTGTTGACGAACTATTTAAGCAGAAATGCACTTCTGGTTATTCACTAAGAAACAGTGATTTTGATAACCCTACTTTTAACAATATTAACTATGGGAAACACTTTCTAAGATATAAATGACCTCATGTCTGGTCGAAACTAGATAATAAATTGAAAGGCTCGTCGAATATTGAATCTTTTTAAAAGAACATCACGAAAAACGACCAAACTTCACTCTTAAACAGCAACAATAACTGCTGTAACCTTTGCAATTCTTAGAGACTACCTTTTATATACCTGTTATTTTATTGTAAAATTTATACATGCTAAATATTTTGATTGTATATACATTCTTTATTCCTTATTTGTAAATAGTTTTAACTTTTTTGTTTTGTCCCCAGTTAGTTGTGAAAACTAAATACATGGGCGCATTAATAAAGCTGTTACGTACTATGCTATTTCCTTCTGATTCATTTAGAAGAATCTCCTGTGAAGGTTTATGAACTCTTAATTTAGAACACTGTTTACTTTTGTCGCATTTGCTTCACTTTGTCAGCGCTCGTGATTTCATTTACCCGCAATTATTTCTTCGCTTATTTGACGAAAAAAGAATGCTCTTGCCTGGGTAGTAAAAAGCCATGTGCTATAAGTTTGACCCAAGCTCTGTGAATATTGTCAAAAAATTTCTAAACGTCGTGAGGCATTTTGCAACAACGAAAATATGAGGATTTGTATGGGGAGCTGAAATATTCGATTCTGATGGTAAAATTAAAAATGATACCACCATTTGTTTTTGAATAAATATCGCTTTCCTTTAGTCCTTGCTAGTGCCGGTTTTTGTGTTTTCTATTGTCATTGGAACTGAAAACCTCATGAAATGACCCCAATTCGATCCGAAACTAGTAGAAAACACTACAGTGAAACCTCGATTTAACGAATGCACAAGGGACTGGCAAAATATGTTCGCTATAACGAGGTTTTTTTTCCCCATGACTTTTACTATTTCTGTGACGGAGAATATGGTTCTTCCAGTATCGAGGACCTCGTTATATAAGGGTTCGTTATTTTTTCTACTGTAATAGAGTTGCAAATAACAACCTAAAGGAACTCGAAACACTTGTTAATCGCGAGCTTGGCAACGTCAAAAGGCCAACGAACTGTCTTTGAGCATAAAAAACTCAAACGTTGTAATCTTTCGTCCCCGGCAAAAGATTATGCGCTTCATACCTAGGATTAGAATTCTTGAATCCGTGACTAACACCTACGCAAACCTTGAAATGGGAGATTATGTAAAATATCAGTTGGCTTAATGATTGATTCAACTCTTTCATGGAAATACCACATCGAATCTATCGGTCACAAAATCAGCAAGTCGATAGGAATTATAGCGAAGATTCGACATAATGTCTCGCGTCTTGTTTTACTATCAGTTTACAACTCATTAATTGTCCCCGTAGTACTTGACTTATGGTATTTCTGGTTGGGGAAACAGTGCCTTGACATTTCAAAGAAAGATCGTAACTCTTCAAAAACGGGCCTTACGTCTCATTTACTTCAGTAAGTCTAAGGAACACACCGTACCCTTCTTTCTCAAATCAAATTGCCTGCCCCTGCCTAGCCTATTTTTCAGAGATTGTAGCTATTCATTGTATGATATCAACAGACAGACAGCACCAGTTAGTATACTCAATCAGTTCGTTAAAACAAGTCAGATTCATAACTAGAGAACAAGATATGTCTCTAGCAACTTGTTTTATGTTAAGTTCTCTAGAACCGATAAAATGTATGCCTTTTTCACGTGAATCGGTGCCCAAATTTGAAATTCTATTCCTTATTCGATTAAAATACTTAAACGTTCGTCCTTTCGTAAAAAAATAAAGGAATTATTACTAAATTTTTTGCAGTCAGAAGATGATTATGTCGAAGTCTCCCGTCTTATTAAGTTATTTAATACTTTAGGTTAGCCTCTCTTCGTAATCGTTATGTACTTGCCTTGTTTTATGTTAGTTTAAATTATATTTACTCTATAGTAGTGTCTTCACTGTTATTTAATTAGTCCATCTATATATAAATCTTGTTTTGTAATACGTCTTCAGCTTCCCCCGCCTAAATTAGTCTACAAGCTAATTGCTGGTGGGAAAGTAATGTAATTAGTTATTTTCCAATTTTCGATATAATTTGTTGTTTTGTTTGTTGTTGAACAAATTGTGATCTAAAGATAGAACGTAAACTATGACTTGCCACAATATTTTAGTAGCAACAAAGTTTATTACAAGCCATAGAATATGGCTCTAATTTTGTTTGATTTACTGTTCATTTTGGGCATAAGGCAATCTTGTACCCAGAGTCTTCAGGCTTTTTGGTCAGCGGGGCAACGCCGGGAAGACTTTTTTGATTGGCTATGCTTTTCATAACGGAAGCTGAGTACCAAAATAAATTTCTGCATTTTCTTTGGCTCCCGGGTATGAGCGGAAGCTTTATGGGATCCTGGCGGAAGCTACAATGTTTTGAAGGATGTTTCGCAGGAACACCTCCGAGATACTAAATTTCAAAAGCCGCGACGGATGAATGATGTTATATCTTTTCAAAGTCAAGTTGAAAAAGTTTAGCGCTAAATAATTCATCTTGAAGCTTTTCGCCTCGTCTGTCTTCGAACCTCGCAATTCAGTATCGATCAGTAAAAAACCGCCACTGCGGACGAGGATAACAGAGCTTGCTCGAAGGCTATGATAACAGGAGAAGAAAAAGACAACAACAACTTCTACTTGTTAAGCAGAGGATAGAGTATGAAAGATTCTTTTAGACCTTAAAGTACTTAGCTTTTCTTGGCAAAAGTAATTTACACCGAGGAGGCTAAACTGCTTATCTTAAAAGTTCGATTTGATAATAGAAACACTGGCTTCAAACGTTTAATGTCATTTGGAAACAGGACTTATGTACCAAGGTGTACCAAGTACTCCTCTGTTAAGACAGTTAAGCTATATAATGCCATATGTTTATTTCAATATTTATTTTACACCGTTGGAAGCTGTCAGAAAAGAGCCGGAGCCTTTTTTGCTCTTCCCAGTTATTGATTGATGATCTCATTGCATGTGATTCCCGTTGGAGTATCAAGCAGGGATATAATATTTCCCTTTTATCTCTCGAGCAAGCTCTATTTCATGGATGGTTGAGTATTCAAACGGGCCATTACTTTCCATATAATGATAAAGGGCAAAACAGCACTAATCTAGTGCCTTAATTGTTATTTGGGATTAACCTGATCAAGAATCCAAAAAGATCTGCGTGTTTTTAAGTCCTCACTATAAAACATGCCTCAAATAAATCAAATTAGGAATAAGGAGAGGGAGGTTATAATAAGAAAAGTAATGGAGAGGTCCTATTTTTTAACGGTAGGACCTCTATTTTTTATAACAATAGGACACTTAAAAGTGTGAAAAACCTATAAATTTCTTAATGAACGCCTGTTTTTTTGCCACTAATACACCCCTCAGTGCAGTGAACATGCATGCATAAGATACCTTGCCTTACTATACAAAGTTGTGTAGCATGACCATTGCCTTCAGGTTGTTTACTTTTAAAAGGCATCTTGGGTATGATCTTAATAGTGTTTCTAGCATCTTCTTATTCCATAGTCATACATGTATGAGACACAAAATACTCAGTCAACGGTTCATAGTCTACTGTTAGGAATCAGACACCCAATCCCTTTTTGGAAGGTTCTCATGTGGGACACATATCTACAATCCTACAACCAAGTTCTAGTTGATAACCCCTCTCCCACCAATTCGCCAGGAAAATAATTATAAAAAATATAAATGACAGCTAGCTACGAGAAAGAGTTTTCAACTGCATGCAAAGTAAGAGTATAGACAAAATCCCCGACAAGTATTTCGGCGCATAAAGTTAGCATATGGCTAAGATGAATAACTAAGATATAACCACCCACCACCACCACCACCAAAGTAACTACAAAAAAAAAAGGCTGTGGTCTCATCATGTGGGAAGTCATTAGTTTATGGTAGCATAAGCGGATGTTGAACCAGACTCCAACAAACGCTTCATTCATATTATCACATCCTCATCATGCACATATTTTCCCCTTTATGCCGTCACTGTCCATTTTCTGCCAATTTTACTAGGCCTTAATGATTCAATCACAACAGTGTTTTTTTCCTTCCACCTTTCTGCATTGCACCCCTTTAATTTTGCTTCCTTGTTTTCTCATGTATGGATACCATGCACAGCGTGCACTCTTAACTAAATAAGGTATGCCAATAGGGACAAATATATTCTCCCTGTAAGCTCCTTTAATTTGTCCAGGAGTGCACTTATGAGACCCAGCAAGGGGGGAGGTGGTAACTTGATGCATTATTTTTTGGGTTTTAGTCTCTGTTTTAATTAGATAGTAAAAAAATTTTTTTTGGCATCACAAATTTCAGTGGGCTCAAGATCCTTTCTGCATCCTTGCAAATGACGTCTTCATGCATACAAGCTCTAGACAGAGCATGGGACGTTTTTAGACATTTTTAATTGCTAAAGATTTAGATCTTTTAAGTATACTGTTTTTGCTATGAATTGCGTTGACCACTGTCTATTAATATCTCAAAATTCCATAGTTCACCACAGTCGTGTACTTAAGCTAAATCACAATAATAATTAAGCAGGTTAGAATATTCTTCTTTAACTCTAGAGTAATAAACTCTTCGATTAGTAGAAGCTTTTGCATTCAGTGCAGTTCTTTGCAGTTAACCGAAGAGAAAAATACCGCATAAGATAGTAAATAGGCAAATATTTTTGGGGCAGGGAAGCACTTAAATCTAAGGGTAAAGGGACTAGGAGTGAAGCCCTCCTGAGGGGAGGGCAAGATAGAGTGGTACTGGAGGTAGTCACCCTGGTCAGAAGTCCCGCTCAGTCTCCAGGGGGTGAGGTCCATATCCACTAGTCACTAGGAACTAAGTGGAACCAGAACCTAACCTAGACAATACTATCCACAAAGATTTAAAAATCTAGGTAGCTACGCTCAAAAAACATACAGCCAACAAAAGCCTGAACAGTCTGCCTGCAAAGGGAACCTGAGTCAAGAGACTTAGAGACATTATGTTGTACTAAATGGACTTACAGCTGTTTCGGATAATTCGCGATTTGCGATGTCTAAAACGTCTTCGGATTTTGGGTTTTTAGGCGACGTCAATCAAACTCTGAAGAATTAGCGCTTTCGCGCCTTCACACCTTACCGGGCCTCTAACGAAACAAAAGGACATCACGGTTTGTGATTTGTGATTGGTGGATTTCGATCCATTTTGTGTGTTTCTAGCCGGGTTCGTTGCTTTTGAACTTCAGAGTCCGGTCGCGTGTTGTTGAAAAGCGGAAATAGTTTTACCTTAGCTCTAAATTTTTATTATCTTCTTTATACTGAAACACGGCAAATTTAGATTGTTCCATGGTTTACCAGGGTGTAAAGTCTGGTTGAACCAACCAGACGTTTCTAATTGTCAAACCAGGCTTACCAGACTTTAACATATGTGCAAAAAGCCTGGTTAACCAGGGTATTCCTGGTAAGACTGGTTATTATAAGAACCAGGAAAACCAGACTTTAACCAGGCTCTTAAATTTTCAATGAACCAGGCTTACCAGGCTCGAACCACATGTCCAAAAAGCCTGGTTATTGTAAGAGCCAGGAAAACCAGAGTTAAACCAGGCACTTGAAATTCTGAACGATCCAGGCTAACCAGGCCTGAACCATATGTGCAAAAAACCTGGTTAACCAGGATATTCCTGGTTAGCTTATCAAGCCTGGTAAACCGGGCTTTACCAGGCTCTATAGTGCGCCAATGAATCAGGTTATCCTGGTATACCAGGGGTTTTCTGGCTAGCCTGGTTTCTTATTTAAAAAAACAAAAACAAAAATAGAACAGGAAAACCAGGTTTAACAGGGCTCTTGATGCACTGAATTAACCAGGGTTTAACCAGGCTTGAACCAAATGAGCAATAGCCTGGTTAACCGGGGTACTCTTGACAAATCTGGTAAATCCTGGTTCCCAGCATATCTTTGAAAAACAAGCTATACCAGCCTTAAATGCGATATAATAGAGCTTCCAAATTCAGAAGAAACTGCGAGGCTAAAAACGAATCGGTACGTTTCCGCCCGTGGTTGAACATTTACTTTTGCAGCTTCTGCTTGTTATGGCCGCCTTTATTTGACACAATTGATGCCACGGTAACGGTTTGATTGACGTCGCAGAAAAACCAAAAAATCTTGAAACGTTTTTGACAACACAGGACGCGTGTTATCCGAAACAGCTGTAAAAGACACTCACTCAATGCGCGTCTCAGCAATTTGGCTCAACTTTATTAAATCAATTATATTTTTAATTTCAACTGTTACCAAACGTCAACATATCTTACTAGAAAAATTACATACATATTGAACTTAGTGATGCAGTTATTAGCAGATAGAATTCAGTCTTCGAGATAAGACTTATAGTAACATCAAGTAATCGTTATGATAATTCCTTCACCAGTTATATTTAGTAGGTAAAACAATCACTACAATCAATAATTATACTTAAAAATCTTATATCGGCTATATGAAGACAGGTTTGCCAGCAAACCATCTGTGATTATCCAAAATCATTGAATCATGTTATTAGTTAATAAAGGTTAAGTCTTAGACGACCGGAGACGTCAAGTTTTCACTTACTATAAATGTTCAAAATTTAAGGTAAAAATTACTCACTGATTACTTGTAACTTAGCAAATAAAACACGCATTCTTGCGATTCAAGATGCTTATTAATAGTTTTAAAATTTATCATTGTACAATTGTTCTTTTAAAGGAACGACTTCAGCTTGTTTTGCGGTTTATATATACAATACAATACCAAACTTTAAGCAAATATACAGTGTAAATAGCCCAAGTTCGATATCTTAAAACTCTAACATGACTCCGAGGCTTTCTGGTCACTTTTCTATATTTGGTTTGGTTTTCTTTGTGCTCAGGGCTCTTCTGGGAATAGTCCAGTTTCGAATTAAAAATCACCGCTGAATACAAACATTAACGACACATTCATACAGGGTTAGCCTCGACGTAAAGTAAAATATTCAGAAATTCTGGCAAGTAAGTGTTTGAAATTTGAATATACACAATAGAGAGAGTAATAAACAGATCTTTTTCTCGTTGGAATTTGTGAATATATTACTTCAGATGGAGGCTAAGGCTGTAAAAAATGCGTCTTCTCTTCTTTAATTCAGCGGTTATAGCGAACTCGAAAATAGGCTATTGCGAGACAATGGAGTCGTGAAAAATTTGCAATTTTGACCCTAAAGCCTCGAAGTCATGTTAGAATTTTAGTATATCGAACGTGGACTATTTTCTAACGCCTATGATGCTCATACAAAAGTCGTTTTTCATACTGCTTGACTCATTGTCAAACTTAAAGTGGCAGGTGCAAAGTTAAGAGCATGCTTATTAATTAAATTACCAATTTTTCAAATTTATTATTAATTCTAGCGGTCAATAATCCCATTTAAATTTATCTCAGCGATCTCAGAGTGTATTTCTCGGTAGAAGTGTATTTTAAAGTAAGCTGAAGTAGGATGGAGGAGTACTAAAATCGCAGAAAAAATTAGTGGATTATGCCAACACTACGAACGTTGAATTTATTGTTGATCCGAAGGTTTTATTCCATGGTTGATTAATTTACAGCTATTTGCAAATATTTGAGTTGATCAAGTACAAGTGACTGCCAGGGGAGTGTGCAGATTGGTTCTTTGACAACAGTATAACATGATATTGCTTGCATAGACGATACAGCATGTCCCGGCAGAAAAACAGCCTTTTTGTAAATGAGCATGCGCTGAACCGTGAACCTGTGCCTTTAAAATTTTGACAGAAAAAAAAAACATGAAAAACCTGACAATCAAGAAATTATAAACCATTTCATGACGAGGAAGGGGGGAGACAAATGGTGTTATATTTACCATAATCTTTTATAAATTTGAATGTCTTTTGCAAAGACCATCAATCATCGCGATAGTTTGTCTACAATTTAGAATGCAGATATCTGTGTTGTAAGACGGACGACATGACTCGTTCACGACATGTATCCTTTCCTTGACCATACAAACCGTTTTGTTTTTTTTTTTTGAGAAATGACAAAAACGTTTTGTCGTTTAGAGAATCTCCTTAAAAAAATTGTCGTAAGTTAAAGGTAAAACAATCATTACATTATTTTAACACATTACTGTTCTTTGAAATCATACCGTCAGTTGAAAAGAACCCCGAGTCAGGCCAATAACATTCGCTGGGACATTTTCTGAGTTAGTAAAAACCTTGCTGCTTTTCATTCTCAGACAAATGTTGTGCACGGATGGTGGATAAGCTGGCTCCTATAAATTAAGAAAGGTGGCGTGGCAGGATATGTGTAGCGTTTAACAGGTTTGCTGGTAGACCAAACAATTCTGCTAGGCCTACTCGAAATCCTCGCATCCGCAACGAATAAACTATTGGATTAGCCAACGAGTTGGCCAAGAAAAACAGTAACACGATCATTCTGACGTGAAAGTAAAAGATTTTCGAAGGGTAAGAAATGTTTGAAAATGCACCTAAACTTATAAATGCTATCACTGGTGACAAAGTCAGCAAAGATACAACCGTTACAATAAATAAAGTGGAAGTCACCTGTCGTTCTTTAGATACAACACTATTTCGACGGCTCTTTGAACGAGTGATGGTTTTAGTTTTGACGAAAATAGAAGAATATGATATGCAAACAAGAAAAAGAGAAGTTAAGTAATATGGTACATATAGGGTGGAGTTAATCATTTGTAACAATTCTTCAGAGTTCTCATTAATCTCCATTAAAATAACTTGGAATGATTCCCTTATCACAGCTACCAACCAAATGATAGTTATTATCGCTCTATAAGCTGGTTTTCCGATAAGACGATGTTTAAAAGGAAAAAATATAGCGTGTGCTCTTTCCATAGCCATTGCGACCAGATTGCCAAGAGAAGCCATAGAAAATAAATGGAGCAGTGCATCTTTCAGATAGTAATCCCAAGTCGATTTCCTAGAATATCCCCATACGTCACACCGTTCACCAAACCGTTCAATTTGAAGAGGACCAGAGATTGCGCCAGCCAAAAGGTCGATTACCGCAAGATTACGGATAAGTATGTATGTTTTTTTTCGTCGCAGTTGCCTTTGTTTCGTAAACACAATAACAGTGACGAGGTTAAGGACGACTATGAGAAACGATTCCGTCCCTATCACAATAATCCACGGAACACAGTGTGATGCAGGGAGAAGAAAGTCTGTGTCGTTATTTGTGTTGTTACTAGTGTTGGTAGGCATCAGGCTTCAAGGATATTTGCTAGGAACTCAACAACCTTGTGAAAAAGAAGCAGACATTAATAAGCAGCCATGGGAAAAGGTTTTTGTGTTATTCGGAATATCAAGGTCTCGGTAAGTGCTATCCGCAGTAGTGGGAGAGGAATGTTTTACTCCGGTTTATTGTGAATTTAATGTAAGTGACACCATCAGCTATTTATTATCTAAATGGGAGTAAATGGAGTCAATTACATCATACTAAAAATAGATAGAATGATGTAATGAGGATAATTTTAGCAACAAGGACCTCGATAGCTTATTATACGGAGCACTTATACGGAGTCTTCCCAGGAAGAAACGGGGCACTTATAACCTTGGTCACGCATCCCTGATGAAGCCGAAAAAACGCCATGAGACCCAGCTCAACACTTTGATCAATCAATACGAAGAGAACGGAGATTCAGAAAACGTGGCTCGTATTAAAGCCGAGAATGCTCTTCTTCCTGTTTACAGAAAACAGCTGAGAAAAGTACTCTTAGAGTAATTCTTCAGTGGATGAGTGCTACGGGAAAAGATCACATCTTCCGAAAAGTGATGGAAACCCAAAAAGAGCTTAAAGATACAAAATGATTTGATTGGCTTGAATCGACAGAACTAGCGATTGATAAGCAAGATTTCTTACTTAATCGACATAATGAAAAGCAGCCCATTCCACAAGATGAAGACTAGACCTACTGGAATGTTATAGAAATTCTTTTTTTAGTTGGACCTTTGTTATTGCTTCGTTTCAGTAAAAACTGTAAACAACCAAACTTTAAGTCTGTTTTATTGCTAGCTTCACAATCATGAGCTTTCTGCGCGTGTAGAGTTCATTTGCAAATATAGATCAGCATCAGTTTTCCTCCAAGCATTTGTGCATAATTAGTGTTACCGATCAAGTGGCCAAAAGGTGAGACGTGAGTTGGATTCGACGCTGTTATTAGGATACAAGAGCATAACCAAGGTTGTTTTGTAAGGAATGCGACTGAAAATTGTGGCCGAAAATGATCACTACGACTATCATTTTGCTGTTTTGATGCTGGGACTTGTTGTAATTACTTGGAGTACTATGAGATAAATGGATAACTTAAGAAATCTGATTTATGAAGCAATCTACCTTTTTTACACATTTTTATCGTTATTCGTTCGAAAGATCCTCACACACGTGACAAAATAATTATCAGAAAGTTTCAATTTTGTGAAAATTCTGCTTCTCAAAAAAACTACAGTCATTTCCATTCCTCCGCGGTCAAAAGATCACCATTGATTTCTCTCAGTTTAGAAATTGTTGATTCGGGTAGGTCACAAAAAATTTTCTTGAGTGATATTATTTTTAAATTAGAGAGAGTTGTGGTCCTCACGATCATACGATAGTGATCAAATACCTGAATAAATATGACATCATCATGACTAAATAAGAACACGATCATTGCAACTAAAAATTAGCATAGGTAATAGCATGATTTGTAGTGATATTTGGCATAAATACCACAAGTGATATTTCGAAATTGTTATACGTAATTTCACAAGCCGTCAGGCGAGTGAAGTTTGAGACAATTTTAAAATATCGCAAGTGGTATTTATGCCAAATATCACGTACAAATCATGCTATTATTTGTTTATACTACTACCCACAAAAGGTTTGTAATTTTCACATGTATGTCTTTCAAATTAAGCTGAAATACCCCTGCTCTAAGTCAATCAAATTGCATAAATTTCTCATGTCCTAGTATAAACTATGGAATCATTATACCTGAATAAAAATATTATGACATCATCATGATCAAGTAAGGACATGTTATCACTTTTCTATTTATAGATCATGATCTCAACATTATTTTGACGACGTCAACCTCTAGGTATTCTGACGTCACTTGCTCCTTGCCAACTAATAATAAACTATGACATCATCATATCTTAATGAGATGCATGACGTTACCGGCGTTAGTTTATGCACTATTTTATTTAAAGATTATGGCAAAGGTTTATCCTAAGTGTGGGTTTTATTCCGCCGATCCATTCCATCGAAGACTCAACAGCAGGCGTGCATGGTAACTAAACACACTGAGAATTGAAACATTTTCGACCCCAGCTATTTTGCAAGAGAAGCTTTGCAGTTGCAGTTTAAGGCATTATTGAGAGTTTTTGTGATAGCATGGACTGGTAATAGTCGATGGTTTCCGTTGCGACTTGTAATTCCCGGCGTATAATTTCGATATAGTCCCCGGATATGGTTCTTGCAAGACCTTGAATTTGCATGCATTTGAGTCTGGATTACTCTAAAAAGCTCGAGGTTCCAACGATTAACTTATTCGTAATGACTATTTCATTATACTGTTTGCTTGTGGCTTGGGAAAACATAATAAATAACCACAGTCAGCTTAAATAATCTGTCTGATTATTGGTAACAAAGGGAACATGGAAAATATCGATGAAACAAAATAATACCCAAATTTAAGTTCCCTTGATCATGAAAAAAAACTTTAAGAACAATAAGCAACTTATTAATAGAACAACCATGGAGTACTTAAGTTCAGCCAAACAGTTCCTTAGAGTGTTTGGGACGTTTGTTTTCATAGTCTAATTGAGGTTTGGTCTTGAAATCAAGAGCAATATTTGAGGAGTGTATCTTTTTTCTATTTAACTGACAGAGGCCCACTTGATGTCAAAAACCCATGAATGAAAGTTTGTCCTTTTTCAAAAGTGACTACAATTTAAAAAAGCTCTTTTGTTCAAAACGAAAATTTTCCAGGGGGAATTGTTGCATCGCAAGGACATGGTGAGGATTTCAAGGACGTTAATAATTATGTGTACTTTTTTTGTCTGGAACCAAAGGACGTCCTTGTAATAAGAGGGTGTCCATAAAAATTATATTGACCGGCGGTCATAAGGAGTAATTTGAGAGTACAAGGGAATGCCACTTTGTGGACACGTCACTCGTGATTCCCCCCCCCCCGCCACCTCCAATTAAAAAAGCCAAAAATTTCCCCTTACTTTGACGTGCTTGATGGAGATACCACTTGATGTGGACAACAAATGATTTTAACCGACCAAAATAAAATGCTAATGGTAATACATAACTCGCCTAACTTTACAGACACAAGTATTATATTATTTTTGATTTGCTCACTATTGACACCTTGTAGAGAAAGATTAAGGCTCCCGGCCATGACCATCGTTATGCAATCCTGCTTTTTAAAATAGGGACACTAATTCCGCTTTTTACATGTAGATACTTTGTTACCACTAGCATCTACTTAGTGTAAATATACAGTAAATGTTCGGGTTTGACTAAAACCTGGAATCGGGATTCCGGAAAAAAACTTAAGACGAACGCCTAATGACCCTGATTAGGGTTAGAAACAGAAACTGAGTGAATCAAGTGACAGGTCAGTTTGCTGGTCAACCCTAAATGGTACCTGATTCACTCAGTTCTATAGTCAGGTAGTAAGAACACAAGACACAATAAATAACAAAATTGAAACAGGGCTGTCATAAGGGCTGGAGGCTGCTTTCGTAAAAAAAAGAAACAAAAATAGAACCAATGGAAATTCCTAGAAGTTTGATACCCTGCCTACTGGTTGTTTCAAGATGAGAACTTGAAATCTTTATGGCTGCCCAATTGAAAGCTCATTCAAGACTCTTACAAAAAAACAGTTTTTCCCTTTTTAATGCATCATTGTATAAACTCAATAATATAAGCAATTTCATTTTATAGTAAATTACATTTTCATTACTTTTAACTTAGACTTCAACATATCAGTTTATTTTCGGTTGATATATTTCAGTTTGTTAAGGTGTCTTCCAGGGCATTTTTCTCTTAGCTACATCTTTTGACAGGCAGATTAATGTTTATCTCATCTTCTAAACTATATCATTGTCTGTTTTCATGCTATTCTTGGGGCAAAATCTTACAAAAGGTTCATAGATTGCTTGATATATGAGCACTGAGGGTAACGCGTCCTGGGTTTTCCATCTTACAGTGGTCGCTATATATTTTTGTTCAAGCAGTAACAACATTTGATAGTGGAATGGCGAAATTGAGCCAAAAGAAAAAAGCCTGAAGCCATATTTTTCAGTAAAACCTAGGAATACGAAAAATACACTAACATAAGAGAATTAGTTGGGAAGCAAACCCTCTTTTAAACTCTTGGATCCTAGGTAGATCCGGGTTTCAATTTGTTATAAACTTCGAAGCTGTATATTGCACTATATCATATGAATAATACGATGTTTTCCCTTGATCAAAAGACCCCTTTCCCTTCAAAATCGGATTAAAGTTATAGAATTTGGCTATTTTCAGTTTGAGACAAATCGAGTCTTGATATTAGGGCGGTTCTAGGAGCAGTCTTGTGTTCAAAAGCTTTAGCAGCTTACTCGTGTTTACCTCTAAACAGCATGAAATTACACAAATTTGTATCGCCTATAACAGACAAACGGCAGGAGGAGCGATGGGGTGCGATACCCTAAACACAAAGAATACATTTTCCTTTAATAGGTATTGCATTTTTTTTTTTTTTTTTGGCGAGCACCCCTAGAATATTGGCAATGAAATTGAACGTGTTGGATGAACACACAACGTCGGTAATGGTGGCCAGATTAGGATAAGCCGCGCGAGGAATTAAACATGGCGAAATCAATGGAAATGGCTGCGAGCAAAAGCAATAAAAGGTTATTTAGGAACTTACCTTTTATTTCGACCTTTTTGTTGTGACAAAAATTATATTGCACATCTTGAAATAAACGCAAATAAACTTGACTTCTTGCGTGTGTTAAGTCCTTCTAAAATGAGCAGTGAATAAATGCGGCGACGTGATTGGTTGAGTAACCTACTCTGCCGTTGTACGGATGACATATTGCGCTTGAAAATCATGCCTTGCGAGCAACCTACAGATTAGGCGGTTATCTTGCTAGCAGATAACTAACTAATCTTTATTATGTAAGTACTGATATTTGCCCACAGGATGAGAGTGATGAAAAATCGT